CTCTGGGCAGTTCCTATTGGCTACTTTCACGGGGGAATGGGGTCAGAAGCTCGGAGGCCCTTGTCTTTATTTTTCAAGAAAAGTTAGAATTTATTTTCATGTAAAAATATCCATTAAAAAAACGTGACAGTGACCAGACCAAGTAGTCAGCAGGTTCCGTGGGGGCTATCTGCCAGGACCCGCTCTCTGCTTTAGCACTCAGACGTCGCCACGACAGTGCACAGGAAACATCCACCCCTCGATGTGCTCAGGAAGCCCTACGGGCCAGGCAGCATGGAGGGTACCGATGCCCGTGCCGACTGGGCACTGTGGAACCTCTACTAGAGCCAGCCAGGCAAGGAGAGGGAGGGGCTGGAATTTCCATAATGACCACATTCATGACTTTTTTTTTTTGCTTTCATCTCAAAACCCAAAATTTTCCTCCACAAAGGTTTCCTGCACCTCCGCCTAGCTGGCACCTTCCACGTCTGCTTCATCTGCCCACTGACACCCCAGAGCCCGGGCTTCATGCCCTTATGGGAAACAGCTCTTCACAAACAACCCCAAGGGGAGATGGTCCATGAACACTGGAGCCACGCAGGCTGGGTTCCACTGGAGCCACGCAGGCTCCGCCACTTCAACCGTGGCACCTCAGCCACATGCTGTGACGTCCATCTGTGAAACTGAGGCTGACCGGGTGGTCCTCCAAGCCGGATGGCCTCACAGGAGGTGGGACGACCCTTCTCACCGGCTGAGGGCAGTCTCCCCCTCAGCAGGCCACCGCAGCACCAGCCCCCGGCCCCACCCAGGCAAGCATCCGGAGGGATTACCTGGGTCCCAGATTCTCCACGGCCTCGGCTGGTCCCGCCAGCAAGAACAGCCCTGCACCTTTCTCATCGCCCACGGTTAAGAACAGGAGGGTCTCCTAGGAGGTAAGACCGGAAGCTGAGCCCCCATACTTGAGGGCGTGGCTCCACGGCCCCTAGCCACCAGGGGAGGGGGACAGGTTCTCCAGAGATGTGGCTCCACGGCCCCTAGCCACCAGGGGAGGGGGACAGGTTCTCCAGAGATGCAGCCCCCTGCACTCTGGCTCAATGTGGTCACTGTTAGGTGCCATAGTAACCCCATGCATAACAGAAGGAAACACAGCGGTCCTGTCCCATCCTTACAAGTGTTCCTACGCCTGAGCCCACTGTGGCAGCCTCTGAGGCCATCCATCTCGTTGAGGGCCTGCCTCCCCTTCGCTGCCCACAATGTCCTTCTCCCGGGACTGGTCTCCCAATGGGGCCTGAGAGTGACGGGGAACTTAGGAGCACGCGTGACACCATGATTAAGCAGTTGGCAGCTAACGGGAGAAGGTTGGCAGTTCAAAGCCACTAGCCCTTCCAGGGGAGAAAGCTGTGGCAGTCAGCTCAAACGGAGATGACAGCCCTGAGCCCCGTGGGTCAGACCTAGTCTACCCTATAGGTCGCTGCGAGTCAAAACTGGCTAGAGGTGAAACCTTAGGAGGCAGAAGGCCAGGCAGGTGGTGGCCAAGCACACAGTGCCTTCTGTGAGTGCCCTCCTTGCAACCTTTCCAGCCGGCCACCCCTCAGGCAGGTGTGGCCTTGTGCCTGGGCCACCACGGCTGCCCCTGCCTACCGACCCCGGCTCCCCTGTCTGATGGCCTCCAGTCTTCAAGGCCCAGCTGACTCAACGGGCCCTTCCCGAAAGTCTCCCCACCCGTTCCGGGAACATGCTCCTCCACCTCTAGCTCCCCTGCAGCCCCCACAGTGTGCAGCGCCCGAGTGATCAACATCAACACCAGGCTAGAAAGGGCGGCCCCTGAGGACCCAAGTTCTACAGGAAGAATGATGAGGCGAACCAGGCTTGACCCAGTGCAGGCATTCCAAAGGGAGGGGAGGCACGTTTTTTGAAGCAAATGCATGAGAGACTTGGGAATCTCTTAAGTTTGGAACTGTTCGGATGAGGAAGGGCAACTGAAGGTGGGGGCAGAGGACATTGGAAGAGGTGGCCTTCCCCAGCCCCATCTATCGGACACCCAGCCCTCAGCACCCAGGCACCTGGGTGGCTCGCTGATGAGTGGCACTGCCCCCAAAGAGGTCGACACCTCAGATCTAGAACAACACCTCACAGGGAGCCTGGCCTGTGCTAGGAAAATAGTACTGTGTGACTTGCTATTGACTACGCTGCATGTGCTCAGGTGGAGGGACTTCAACTAGGCCCGTACTTACAGCCTCTCACTTCCACTCCTCTCAAGCAGGTCTCTAATCAGGGTGGGTCGAATTCCATGCCCCTCTTACCTCGGCCCCAATCTCATTGGCAATGATGTTCATGAACTCAGAATCTCCTTCCTTCCTACAACGAAGGACACAGACATGAGGTCCGGGCTGGAGGGGGCGGTGAGAGCAGGAAGCCCAGTGGCTGCTCATGACGTCTGGCCTGGCTCCGTCCACACAGAGAGCTCTAAAGCTCTGCGCCCTCTCAGCAAAGACTAGGAGTAAGACGTCCGTCTTGGCCTCAGAAGCCTGTAAACATGCTACGATTTGCCTCTGTCTCCTGGAAACAGGATTCTCCAGGACGATGGGAGATTTGCGGCATGCTAAAGGAGACGAGGGAAGGTGCAGATGGTAGAGAGGAGAGGTTTACACCAAACCCAGGAATCTGGTGTTTGATGCATTTCTTAGGTTCTACGCTGTCTGAAAGTATCAGTGAGTAAACCCGCTTCTACCAGCCACGGCACACAAGCCCACCCCTGCTCCCAGGTCGTCTCTACTCCTGGTCTCTTACCTGTGTAACACGACCACCCCTCCCCAGTCCGGGCTGTTCCGGAGGCTGTGGGCGATGTGCACAGCCAAGTCTCTCAGCAGGTTCAGGTTGTTCTGGGATGGAGGCAAGGAGTCAGTTCACAGGTGGAGAGGAGAGGAGACAGAACACCGTCCTCCTCCCCACGCTCTCCCATCTGACCAGCCACGCAGCTGTGTGGGCCCAAGCCCAAGTCTGGGAACCGACCCAGCAGGGCCCAGGCCCGAGTGCACCCTCCACAGAACAGCTTACCTTCTGCAGAAGCTTGGTCGAGTTTTGTAGCTTCTTTACTGCCTCCACGTGATCTTCTGCTCCACACCTGAGAGAGAAGGCTCAGTAGACACCTGCCCAGAGCCCCAACCGTGTTTGTTTTGGGGGAAGATCAACCTTTCCCTTGGTGAAAGGGGGCCCTC